CACGTTATCTTTTACCATTTATGAAAAAGTTTACTTATTTCCTACGGAAATAAGGTAACTTTTACAATGACTGGGAAAAGCAAAAAAAAAGCATTCCCTTGTACAAATAGGCAAGCACATTCGATATATCTTATCCTTTAAACGAACAATTCTTGTACATATATAAATATATAGTATTCGGTGGCGAAAAATCGATCTAGCTAGGTTTCATTTTTAGAAAATGCCCTTGTATCCATGTTTTCAGAGAATGAAAAATATCATTCGAATATGACGCGTAAACGCCGCAAAAAAAATGTTATAATAGCTCGGTAGGTAATCGGGAGGCCCCAAAACAGACGGCCGCGGTTCGTATCACGATCATTTACACACTTATTTTTTTATTTTTTTTTTCGATTCCAGATCATTACTTTCTTTATTTTTTATTTTTTGTCGATTTGTTATTTTGTTATTTTTTTCCCTTTTTTTAAAGTTCTTTCGTATTTTCATATTTTCTTATTATTACGTCGGTAAGATCGAATAATATTATGCATATTGCATTACTCAGTAATTTGTATCTAAATGTAATGTCCAAAATACATGATTTACCAAAAAAAAATAAACCGAGCAAAGCTCGGTCCTCCAGGTACTATATATATTTATATATATATATACGTATAAGAATTGCTCGTTTAAGGGATAAGATTAGTACAAAGCTGTAAGCTCTAAGTCTCAACGCGTTCTGCTCTACGTGATCTACGATTATTTTAAGCAAAAGAAATGCATTTATACGCTACTTTTAAAATATGTACAACATGTTATTCCACATGAGATCTCAATATTGCATTTTCAAACTAAGTAGAGAACTAAAAGAGATTCTGTATAGTTTAGATTGTGTTTCAATCGATTTTATTGTGTTGCGATCAATCACAGAATGAAACTGCCAGATAAGGGTGCACAAATGCAGGTTTGAAAATAAAATACATAGTATAACGTCGTATTATTTATTTTCATCTGATTCCAGCCGCCCGGTACAGTTACGAGCGGGCTTTACTCGTTACGTTTAGTATACGTAGTAACGCTACTTTACCAAATTTCCGAAATACTGATATCTGGGAGGCTGATGGCCTCGCAACACAAACAAATGGCGGCGGCATACCCGAGAGATGGGATTTCAACGCGGTGGTTACAATCTAATATCAAACACCTATGGTTACACAATACGCACAGAAAATACACGACGCGAAAATAAAGAAAGGAAATATATTTACACTGAAACATCTGAATAACAATTCACAAATTATTTCTTTACTTTACTTGTATTGAATATCTTAGAAAAGATCTTTCAATTGGATTGAAAGCCGTCCTGGGGTTTGAGTTATTATTTAACATTTCATTTAAATGAATATAATTGTTTACAATTACCAGTCAACTAAATTAATATCATTCGATTAAACAAAAAATAATTAGAGTTAACATTTAAGCGGAATCATTGCCCAGTTATTTATGAACGCTAATCATTTATAATGTTTGATTCACAACAATTCTGGATAGAACACCGAGAATAGAATAAATTAATATATTTACAAAACATGTTATCAACTTCAATCTTCAAGAGCAGTCCACACAAATGTATAAAATACTGTTACAGCGAAAATGCTACCATTGCAACTTTAAAACGGACCAGCGTTTGGAGGTTATCTATTAATTCTTAAAGCTCTACAATATCTCACATTACAAATTCAAATGGTTACCAGTTCGGATTTTTAAGACCGGCTATTTTTCCTGTTTTTTTTTTTAAATTTATCTAGACAACAGATCAAGTTAAGGACATCCTCTCTCGGTTGCCGCCACGACGAAGCCAATGGAAGCCGTGCGCCGTAGTCACTACACACTACTACCGTCAATGCGGCTCGGTTACCCACTGTCGAGCAACACTTCAAGTCTGTCGTATTATATCTATGTATACTATGATCTCGGTTTACATTGTTGGATTCGTTCAGTTATCCTTATACATCATTTCTCCATGTAAACCCTGATTTGATTATTCACAAACATAAAAAAACAAAAGAATTTTCTATTTGTCTATATCATCCATACTAATATACATAATCCACATAATCCACATTTATAAATCTGTCTGTCTCGATTTCACGCCAAAACTACGGAACCGATTTAAATAATAAATTTTAGTACACAGATAGTCTAGAGCCTGAGAAAGGCCATAGGCTATTTTTAATTGCAAAATTTTTTTTGAAAGATATTTATTTAAGAGTTTCAACGCGAGCGAAGCCACGGATGAAAAGCTAGTAATTCTAATTTTTATAAGTAAAAATTAAATTAATTATTCAGTAAATAAAAAAACATGTTTCCTCAAATATGACGAACTAAAATGCATATATTAGAATGTTACTAGAGAATTAAATAAATAATTTAAAAACAGTAAATTTATGTGTTATTTATAATAATAAAAACTTGCTAAAGACTCAAGTATATTTAAATGGTTCTGTATTACAGATGTAGCGTTTAGACGACTCTTAGAATAAATGTATTTATTAAACAAAACAATCAGGAGCCAACAATATAAACCGATTCGCTATTTTAATACAGACTTTTAGTAGGCGTTATCGTTTTATATTAAAAATTCATTACACATTTATAATTTATAGCTAAAATTATATTGTCATTGATTTTCAACCTTCTGATAAAGATATTTCGTGTATGTATTTTCGTGCATGAATTCCTTGTTACAAGCGTTTAACGAAGATTCATTTTCAACGATATTTAGCATTATATTATTATCAGATATAAAACTATTAATATCAATTAGGTATATCTTTTATCCTACCGTGCGTAAAGGGCATGTTCTTCTAAGAACATTATACGCATGTTACAACACCCACTAACTTATAAACATCTGAAATTTATTCAAAACAAATAGGTACAATTTACTTCAATATATTATTATTAACACATTTAATTTCCTTTTCTATATTAACCTATAAAATATTGACCAACAACAAATCCTGTTTATTTTAAATCCAATATCAACGTTTGGGATGATGGTTAAGAAAAGAGCACGCGCTTACGAGACATGACTGCGCTGAGGTGTATGTTATATATCGATATTAAGCTATCTGACACCAGCTCTTCTTCGAGTGTGTATACAATAGAAGAATCTAATACCTACATTGCAAAGAGTCAAGACATGATTATCTATTGGCTTTACGCACGAGGGTAATGATATATTGATTTTTAAATCATAGATAGTTATTTCATAATAACATTTCTGTTGCAAAATTTGACGTCCATTTTAGCAGAGAAAACATACTTGAGTACACCATTCATTAACATACTACTGCTAAATATTATTACTCTTGCAAAATGTTGTTTAAATATTATATTAATTTATTTAATAGAATGAGTAATTAACATCATTATTTATATTTCGATAATATACATAACCTAATGAATCGCATGAGAAACAATTTACACAGGTGCATAAGATTAGTTAGAGAAATACATATTTTCAACATCAGCTAAGATCTGGATCCAAAGGAATTCGTGAACGAACATCAGTTTCATTTTATAGGCGAGGTCCAAAAACAAGTATTAATGACTTGGACTATATGGAAGGCTTTGGATAGATGATACCAAGAATTGATAGGTGCACTTACATTAATACACATCATTAAACAAGACGAAAAATGTATGAAATTGTGATACTGGCAACACTCATACAAAACATTCCATATAATCCTATCTTAAGTATTCAGTATCACAAAGGAGAAATAGGTAAAACGGTAAAGTATCAAAAATCATTGTGTCCCATATCAGTCGTGTTATTTGTGCAATGCTATTAACAATAAACAGTTATAACAAAACTTCGCCTTGAAGTGTAGCTCAAAAGTTGTTTGCAACCAAACTGCCTCCGGCAGACATATAAACCAGTGTTTACATAACATTACTTTTTTTCTATATAAAATGGACCAATCATGGCAGTGACAGTTGAATCAGTGCTGTCATTGGTCAATTTCTACCACTCTTATATATGTCTAGCAGACGCATGTCATAAGAACTGAGATGCTATCTCGGAATATCGAAGGATGAATATAATTATGTATATGATGACAGATTATTAACTTCAAGAACCTTGTTTCGACATTCGAAAATAGCAAATAGACCTTGAGATTGCGACCTCAACGGAAATTATGCCATTCCTTCATAGAATTGGCGACTCGTAAAAATGCTCCACTAAAATCTATTTTGGTTTAATATACCGTTATACAATTACAGATATTAATTTAATAATGAACAAGGATTATTTGGAATATATTAATTTCATCGAAACAGCTTGCATTTGCTACACGACGCCAACAGATCACGTAATCGCTCGTTCTACGACGGATGTATATCGAGTTGTGTCTGGCACGAGCTACTTTGATATGGTCTCAGTCTCAAGACAGTCCATACGTCTGATCTATGATACAATCTTCCTACTCGAGCTACTGACTTGTGTCCACTATCGACACTAGTAACATCACACGAACGGAGTTCTGTGAAACGTACGTATTACTGGTGTGATAAACGTTTCAATATGTAGTCGGAAATTTTCCTATAACCAATTGAACCATGTTAAGATTTGTGTGTCGAGTGTGTACGCAAGCCTCTGATATGTGGGATGATGTGTGTAGCGCTCCGGGCCATTAGCCTTCGCCCCGCCCTAACGGTACAAAAATGGAGCGTACCTACATATACGTATATTATATACAATGTACAATACAATATGATAAACGCTATAGGTGCTACAGGGCGGGGCGCCGGCAGCCAGCGAGGTCAGTGCCTCGTGCGTCTGCAGATTAACATTCTCACAATAATATACATCATTAGTCGCTCTATACATAACAAATATTTCACGAACGCGCACCACGCTCGGTAAACAACATAATATACAGCAGAATCGTAGCACTCTTTCGATTCAATAAAAAAATTGACTAGAAAACTTCAATTCGCTATGAGCACTATGTGTGCGTGGATGGCGAGGAGAAAATGTCAGCGGCACGCCAAGCCTCCGCCTCCTCCTCGGCGTCGTACTGCTGCAGGAACGGGTTAGTGGAACTGTAGCGCGGGCTGATGCCGCCGTTGGTGCCGCTCGAGTTCAGGGTCACCGCTAGACCTGCCGACGTTCCCGGAATAGCTGAGCGCGGTGACTCGCGCGGCGTGGTCTCGTGCGGGGTCATCTCCCTGGGGGTGTGATCGCGAGGCGTCAAATCTCGAGGCGTCATTTCTCGAGGCGTCATTTCTCGAGGCGTCATTTCTCGGGGTGTCAAATCTCTAGGTGTCAAATCACGAGGAGTGTTTTCCCGCGGTGTACGAGGCGAGTCGCGGGGCGAGGCGCGCGGCGAACCCCTTGGGGAGACACGCGGCGAACTTGCGCGCTCCGGCTGCCGTAAGATCGAAGACACAGAGCCGCCGTGCTTGATAGTGTCTGCTGGGCTGTGGCTCCCGGAACTGCTACTGGGTGAACCGGGAGACGAGACTGTCACCTGCCGGGAGCGAGGTGGAGCGGGCAGTGGGCCGCGAAGAGGCGACTGCGGACGATATTGGCCGCCCCTGACTGATGAGAGAACCTGCAAGGGAAACCCATTATAATTATAGGTATGTATATATATGGTGAAGTTCATTGTTATTCGAACATTGTAAATTCCAGTTAGATTAATTAAACGTTAAAATAACGTTTAAAAAATCTAACCTGAATTTAAAACAAATGTCTTTTAAGTTACATACATACTCTGAGAAAGTTCTGAATAAAGTATTTCCCTTCATTAAGCTAACGAATTTTTTTTACTATTGCTGAAAATTCTCAATTTTCTATCTAATGTCAGCAGCATTTTAGACTGTGCTTTAAAAAAACCAATAACAATCTCCATTTATACATACAGATTTAAAATGATATAGGCTGACTTATGCAATGTCTGTAATTTTTTTGATAGTTTGTAAGGAGTTCGTACCTGTATACTGTGTTATCGTAACTTGTATTCCATCTGCAGTTTATTATAGTTCCTGTTCCTTTGATTAACTAACGGCCGGTTTTAATATTCTATCTACGGATAGATTTGGTTACTGGAGATACAGATTTGATGTAAGTGTTATGGATGGAATGTTGGAACCGGTCCCAAGTAAATAATTAAAAAATATACAAACATGTGCGGGCGGCGATCGGTCTGCCCCTGATCGAGCCGAGAGAGCTGGCGGCGGAGATGCTGCTGATGCTGCCGCTGGAGGCCGATATGGACTGGCTGAGGGCAGAGCTCGGCCTGACAAAGTACGCGCTAGCTTAGAAGAATCGGTTCCTGTTACTCTGGAACCCAGAGGCATACGGCGTGTGTTGTCAACAATTGAGTTCTTTCAAATTTGAACTATTGAAATTGTAAAAAATAAAAATCAACATATATTAAGCAAAACAATATATATTATTAGAAAAGTAACAGATAAAAAACATGAGGTAGACTTTATATTGTGGATAATAACATAGACAATATATTAACATATTGACAATATATTAAGAGATAATATGTTAAAGCTGACCTAATAAAAATCAATCGCAATGCAACTATATAGAGTAATTGTGTATACACTAGCTAGGGCGACAGATTCTTTTTTTCAGAATGTGTTTAGGATATATATACCTCACTACAATACAATTTACCGACTTCACATGTCTGAAACAGACATTTTGCTTAAATATCCAGGCCTCATTACGATGTGTTCCAGCACCGGCGAACGTGTGATAATCGAAACATGAAATCGGTATTAAGATTTTTAACGGTGACGACACTGAGATATCGTCTTAGATTGTTAGGGCATCGTGAATTAAAACTTTTTTTTATGTGATAAAGCGTCAAACGAGCTGGCGATTCATCTAATGTTGAGTGATAACCGCCGCCCATGGACATTTATAACACCGTTGGGTTGCAAATGCGTTGCTACCTTTTAATAAAGTGGGCCCCGGCTACCTCACTCATCAGACGGAATACAGAAGTTGTAACACTTCTACTTCGTCTTTGTCGTGGTACTAACCCGGACGGACCTGCCCATTCGTGCAACAGCGAACACTGTTACGTGGCTCTACCACAGTATTCATTGTTTAGATGACCAATAAGTGACCTTGGGGGAGGGTGGCTGAGACCGCTGGCGATGCACTGGCTCTGTTTCCACGCGGCCCGGTTGCTGGCTCGCCGCGCCGAACTGTCTACAAACATACATGCGTTAAGGTACCGCTTAGCCCTTAAATTTGTTGGAAACTTTTCACAATCTATATGACTTGGTATTTATGAAGAGTTTTATGTGTTCTATGGTACAGCGATACATAAAAACATTAAACGTAGCATACTTGAATAATAAATAGAAATATAATAGTCACCAAAATTATACATAGATACATGTCGGTAAACTCTGTTGAAAATATTAGCACCGTTCATTAAAGGTTCATAATTTTTTTATAAAATGAAACACAAATTTTCTATAAAATGAAAGAATGTTAATCACTAATAAAATCTATAATTTTCTCAGATAAGTGCATATCTGAATAAAAATTTAATTTTTATTTAATTAAAAGAACATGAACATAATGTGATTGCTTCAATTTTTAAATGCACTATTAAATTATAAATTCCAAAAATAAAAAAAAAAAAATATTGTGTGCACTCGTAGTGTGTGTAGGCTAACCGTCTCTAAGTGTTTGTTTAACTAAGTTTTATGCAAGTTGTCCTGAAGTTGTTTGTTTTCAGGAAACTTTGTAAGCGGATGCTTTTGGGGTCGCATTTCTAGATCTTTCTGGATGTTTCCTGATTATGCCATTGGAGGTGACATTACCTGAACGTTTAGGCGGTGGCCATATCTGTAGAAGACACTGAAGTACGTGAATCGGTCTTTGATAGTCTAACTCATTAGAAGGCTGAGAATGTAGCATGAGAGGCGGTGCCATTGCCACTGCCAAGTGTTGCGGGGACATCTTGTTTCGATCCTGCGCTGCTACCACCAGGGCTATAGAAACAAAACGGCAGCAAACATGAGCTAGACATTAGTTCTTATTTATATAATTTACAATAACACTTTTTTAATCGCGAACATAAAGTTAACAAAAATGGTTTTTGATATCTTAAATTATCAGTTCCGTAGGAGAGAACGGCGAAATAGATTTTAATCAAAAATGTAATTGAGAATCTTTATGAAATTGAATTAACATCTACTAATTAACCCCTGCTAAATATTTGCACGACAATCATTCACCGAACGGTAATATAATAATGTGTAAATAAGTATTTATAATTTACTTATTGTGTATAACAGTCTTCTCTGCTATCATAACAAACGCAGCGGAAAACATAATTTGATGAAAAATTATGGATGAGAGTGATCAATAAGTCGATGTAACAAAATATTAGCCAATTAGCTGAAAGAAAAGTTAGCCAATCAACATTTTTGGTGACAACCGACAACCTACCTAAATGGTCAAGGAGGAACACCAAAGTGGCGCGTGCAGCTCGAGGTAGACATTCCACTATTGATGCCATCAGGCGAGCATTGCCTTCTCGATCATCAGGCAAACAAACGCCTAGAACAATATACAAAAAATAATAGAAAAGAAATCACATAATAACGTTTTAATTATGTAAGGTGGTTTCTTAATTTACAATATTTCCACTGAATCTTTATGTTAAAATATTTTATGTCTCGCTTTGTTATACATAATAATTATCACAAGTACTAACATCATTATCATAAGTGTTTAAAATAATATATTTCGAAGCACAGATTAGGGATAGATTGAGAAAATTACAAAGCAGAATATAAAAACGAACCAAGGGCATCCAATGTCATTTGATACAGGCAGCGGCTGAATAGGGGCTGTGGCAGCTCCCTGAGGTAATCCTTGAGCAGGCCAGTGATGACATTAATATCTGGAACTGAATCCGGTGACAGTTCGACCCCCCGAGCATTGCGTTCGAACGCTTCCCGCAAGATACGCTTTTTACTAGCTGCACCACACAATCTGTACAGACCTGGAAATATATATGTATATTTTTTTTCATTATTACTATTGGATTATAAAATGTAATGTTTCTTTGGAAATTATTGTACCTATACAATAGTGTACATACATTATAACAGTAATGAATAATGTGTTTAGATAGTACAGACATAAACAGGACAATTTGCTTGGACTGGGTACCTAATTTGTTGATGCATGTTTGAGAGAGAAAGATTCACATAGCAAAAACGGTATCGCATTAATGAGGGACACGTGACTTACCTATGATGTCCAGTCCTCGGCGCTCAATCTCCTCGACGCATCGACGCACTATGAGCGGCACAGGTGGTGCGTGCGAAGGGCGCACCTCTCGCGCTACCACCGTCTCTAGTTCCGCGCCAAAGAGCGGTGGTGGGGAAAGGCGAGTCGGGGCAGGGCGCCGACGGAACAACTCGTGGGGTTCGGTGTGACGTAATCGCACATATAATGTGCCACGTGGTTCCATCTGTCGTGTATTTGTTGTTAATTTATATGAATAATCGAATTTCTTCCCCATGTCGCTTGGTAACCTCTGATCTATTTGCATTTAAATTTTCAATTTGGAATATTGGGATGATAAAGGAAAGCATGATGTTTTTCTTACCAAGAGAAAGATTAATTCAGGTAACGCCTAACAATAAAAAATAAATTGAATGAAAAAAATTATAGTTTTATATTTAAAATTAGTCTCCATACCTTTATAGCCAGTTGATGTGAAGGCGAACGTGTTAGCAAATCTGGGAGAATGGCAACGCCTCGATAGCAGAGTTTGTGCCTATGCTGCGGATCCCAAGAATACACCAGCACATCAAGTTGTCGGTTATCAACCAGTTCCAGCTCGAAGGACTCATCCCAGTCAAAGAGGAGCTCCCCGGTGCGAACCTGTTTTTTACGTAAGTAATCATAGAATGAATTGCAATAACCATTTTTATCCAAAATATGACGTGTGTGACTTCGAGCCAAGCATAAATAGACTTTTACTAAGATCGTACATTCACTACCTACTGCTGCATCGCCACTTACCATCATATGCGATAGCAGTCAAGCACAAACCAGATTCTTAGACAAGAAAAATTACCATCTGTGTGAATAATGTCAAATAAAGGCTTCTTGACGAAATATAAAATCATTCAGAATAGTTTAATTAGATTTCTTGTGTCTCATTAAAAAAATACCAACCACAGTCCGCGCTTTGTGTACTCGATCGCATTCAAGGACACAGTAAAGATCTCGGGGGGTGACAGGAGGTTGAATCGGTGCAAGTGCTCCAGATGGTGGGGATGCTGGAGACGATCCTGAGGGTGTTGGTCGCAAGCCTCGGCCTGACAGCAAATGCACCCAAAGCATGCCTGATACGCCACCCGCTAGGCGCGACAACCCGGTCATGGAAGACGACAAGCCAGTGCCCGGCTTCTCTACCTTATATTTTAGGAAGTCTGAAAAAAAACATGAGACGTGACCACAGAGTAGGTAATTAGACAGATGTTGAGGGATTAACAGATAATAAGAACATTGATAGGGAATATTAAATTTGCTTTTTTTATAAAAATTCACGTAACTAACTAACCGTTAACATTGAAATCCAAAAGTCGCTGATGACGCGATCCAGGAGTTGGCACTGGACTAGGATTTGGACAATTGAACCGCGAACCCAGCTCTAGGAGCTGACGCACGCGGCGTGTAGATGGCGAGCCAGTAGGACCCAACTGTTGAGATGAGAGAGAGCGTGCAGGTAAATGACGTGGTCTCTCCATCCTTCGCCCAGCCAAACCCAGAGAGGATCCGAAACGACTTCCACTTTCCATCTGTCAACAAAAAAATCGAAAAATATAATTGTAATTTAGACACGAATAACGTGCTTGTAAAATCCTTTTTGATGAAATTTTAAAGAAATTGTGGAAAAATAACAAATGCCTTTTATGTAAAGTACGCCTGGTATAAAAATTTCTTAGATTTAATTAGCAGTCATGCACAAACCGTAGTTTACTGGTTACTATAAAGTTCATTTGGTACATTGTGGTAAAAGATTTAATTTAAGTATTAAATCCCCAATTCTCTTAAAACCTATCTATATCATGATATAGTTAAAATCTATTTAGAAACATTGATAATTAACAACAAACAATTTTTGTCAACATAAAACATAGATGATAAAACTTTTGGTACAATATTCGAAACCATACAAGCGGGTTTTACAAGCTTTTAAGCAATATATGCTCTTTTATTTCGAAATTTAAACCCACAAACTTTTTACGAATTATATTAGATAACTCATTTTATGAAACTTATTTTGAAATCATTGAAGTGTACTTACGTTTTTAAGAGCGTCATGTATATTTTCAGCGGAATAGTGTGTAGGAAGGCGAGGACGTAGTGTTTCGTAAAGTGCACTAGTTGAGGGCGCACGTGACAGCCATGCACGATACTCATCGGATGTGAACACTGAAGGCGAAGAAGGCAGACGACCTGTCATCGATTGGGCAAATTTATAAAAAAAACGTATTCACTTACCTCAAAAAACAAAAAAAATATCAAAGAACTAAATTGTTTGGTCGGCAAAATTATTTCCCGTTATAGAACAGTTGTGATATCGAAATAAGTAAATGGTGGTGACCGGACAGCAAATAAAAATCAAGTTTCATATTCAAGCGTTTTAGCTAACAATACCTCTGGAAGAACGAAGATCAAGACGAGAAGACAAAGGCTCTGGTTCATCTTGGAGAACACTACCCGCACGTCTGGACAAGCCCAATCTGCCGAAATATCAAAATTATAATTATGTAAACAGAGAAAAATGACGTCACAGATATAAAAAGTTTCACCTTTGACCAGTTCCTCTTACGTCCCTGGGCAACGAATTAAACTTAGATCCAATATCGCGCCCCAAAGTACTGCTTCTATAGCCACTTAATCCTGAATAATAAGGGGTTCTGGTGGGAGCTGTAGCTTCGGTATCTGATGAATAATCCAGACTACGGTTTCGCCTTGTTGTTCCAAATTTACTGCTATACGATGGCAAGCCCAGGCCTGTAGTTCCGTATCCAGCTCCAAGGGTTGAACTCAGTCCAGTTCCCGTCAATCCTGCTCCAAGGCCAGTGCTTGACAGTCCAGAGCCAACTAAACTGGAACCTGTTAAGCCCGTAAGTCCAGTTGTGGAAAGACCAGAAGGAAGACCAGTCGCTCCAAGACCAGAACTAGACAAACCAGTCCCTGAAAGTCCAGTACCAGGAAGTGGTGGCCCTGTTATTCCCATGCCACCATATCTTTGATTGTATCTTGACAAGCTTGCCGCTGCAATAAGAAAAACATGAATGAAATATTTCTTTCGAAATTTGAGTTTAATTAAAGATTGGACTTGTATACTCTTACCTCCACCAGTAGCAGCTGAAGCCTTTAAGCTGGATCTTAGCAAAGAATGTCGTCCAAAGTCTGAATGCGTCTCAGCGCGTGGCAACTGTTGTTCTGACCCTGACCGAGGAACTCTACCACCGAAGCGTGTACTGTAAATATTAAGTTTCATACAAACAACAATTTTGTTTTTTGAATGAATTCTAACTGCTGCTATAATTGTAAGACTTTGCATTCTTAATTAATCAATCGCAACACTAGTGGCATATCTTACCTTCCACCCTCCTGTGGATAAAACGAATGCACCTTTTCCGCAAGGCTCTCCAAAGTGTTAGGATATGAGCGCTCGTACGGCACAAAGTGCGTGGCCGTGGACTTAGGTTGCTCAGTAATAACTGGTGGAGGAGGCCGATAGCTGCAGAGAAAATCGTTCTATTTATTAAAGAAAAAAACATATTTCTTGTATCACAAAAATTCCTTTAACGACTACACTCAATCTACACGACGATTTAGTGTATTCATTTAAGAAAGTGTAAAACGTGTTTGTTAATTTTGCTTATTTTCAATCCCTGCTCGTGATCGAGGGAAAATAGTTCCAATGAATTAACAAAACACGTTTGTTAAGTAATTGAAACTATTTTACCTATGCGTTTGTGGATACCTCCATGTTGAATGGTCGGACGGTGGTCTTGAGTTGTAGTAAAGGTCAAGGGGCGTAGAGTCGGGTGATAGAGCGCCAAGTTGCATTCTGTTTCTTTCTTCTCTCCCATCACCGACGGGGCGAACTCCGCCACCTGATCCACCAGTTGAGCGGAGAGTACCATGCCTGCAATATGGAATACGAGTATATCCGGTTCAGTAGAATAATCGATATATCATAATTGAGAGCTGAGTTCATAGAAGAGAAAATTAACGAACGCATCATCTTTATTACTACTGATGTTAGTTCTTCACAAACATATAGAGCCGTGATTCCTCAGTGTCCGGGCGCTCGCTTAAAACTCAATATGCGTATCCAGACATATTTACGAAATAATTGGAATAATGTGAAGTGTCAATAGTTAGTCCAAGAATAATTAAAAAGTAAAGTAAAGTAAAGTAACAGCCTATACATGTCCCACTGCTGGGCAAAGGCCTCCTCTATATAGAGGGTATCAGGGCATAGTCCACCACGCGGCCCCACTGCGGATTGGCGGACTTCACATATCTTCGAAATATTTTTTTGTTATTATTTCGAAAATATGCAGGTTTCCTCACGATGTTTTCCTTCACCGCGGAGCACGTGATAAGACAGCACTTAAAGTTAAAAACTTCATTGGTGCCGGCACCGGGGATCGAACTCAGGTTGCTCCAGTATATTGAATTAAGGGCGAGCGCCCGGACACTGAGCTATCACGGCAAGAATAATTAAAGGAAAAGGTGAATTTACTGCGAGTATAGGCCATCCACGCGGTCTCGATCCCTTTCATCGTCATCTCGACAGTCCCTTTTCAGGACTACGACTGGTGGTGGTTTATGCTCCGACCGGGGAAGTGATGGTGACCCTGGTCCCGATTTACCTGTTACGTTTATTTTAATATTAACACTAAACTGTTTCCAAAAAAAATCGTAAGAATAAGTACAGAACTATAAGCATGCACTTTCAGAATTTAATGTACAGGGTGGCTTTTCGAAAGGTGCCAAAATTCACACAGGAGGTCCAGAATCGGTAGTATAATCATTCATTGAAATAAAAATAAAACTTTTATTTTTGAAAAAAAATTGCCATTCTATTCCGTAACAGAACTTGTTGACAATGCGGTCACAGCAGTCATTCATAAATGCGTCGTATATATTTGAAACGAACTTGTGTGCGTGTTAGTTATGAATGATCGCGCGTAAAATAAATGAGTTGCCCATAAATCTCGCTCTTTTTGAGATAGTTTAAAATGAATGTAATTAATTAATTACGAGTGATTTTAAATGTTTATCATTTTTATATATCTTTTTTTTATATATATCTTTTTTATCACAGACTGGCTAGTGCTTGACTACCATCCCACTTCATGACGAGTGGTAATATAGTCATTAGTAATGAACACTGTTGCTTAGTAAAAGTCTTCTCTAATCTAACAGCAAAAAAGAGTCCACCTCCTTTCAAAAAACTGTGAATAAATTTTAAATACTTTTAATTTATGAAGTTTATACACTTCCAACTTTAATGTATAAAATTTAAAAAAAAAACTTTTAGAAGTTAGATCTTTTTTAAACATCATTTATTGTAACTGCCTCGTTCAGCATTTTATATTCTCAAATTTGTTCGACTTTACATTCACCCTTTATTTTACTTTAAAAAAAAATGAGAACGTTAGAGCTAAAAATTATTTTTCACCTTTTCTTTGCCTTGTGCATAATAGCAATCTCCTGGGAATGGACATGATGATAACAACATCATCCAAAGACATCCGTCTCACGTCAACTAAATTCACGGCTAAGATCTCATCACCAACTTTTAAACATCCGCTGTTGTACACCGCAGACTCTAACGCTATCCGTGATATGAAAACACCGTCTGTCCTTCCCCCTCCATCACCTTCTCTGATATAAAGACCAAGTGTTTGACCAGGACGTTTAACGATTTCCACCAGTTGTACTACGTGGCGTGAATCCTGCAAAAAAGCAGCATATTAATTTATATTAAATGTCATCGATCAGCATCCACTGTAAAGGCAAAGAAATGTGTAAACAAAAGAATGTACACAAATGCTCTGCTTAATAAGAATACAAACTATAGGTTTTTTCATCTGAGGATATAATTATTGGAAACTTAAAATGTAATGTACCGAAACAATACAAAAAGTATAACATTGCATAGATAGATTATTTAAAGCCTAATACTATTTGGATTTTTATTCTATATAAATTCATCTAAAAGGTTGTTTTTCAGAAGTTATTGTATTATCCACTCTATTGAATTGACGGAACACAAGGCCAAATTGTAAAGAAATGTTTCGGCCGCTCACAAAAACGGTACATGAAGAGTAACACAAAAGGAAAAACAAAAACAAATACAAAGCTCACGTTTTTCCATTAAAACAATATCGTCGCAGCCTTAAAGCCTTACAAGCACATAAACCCTTGCGGTACCGCATCAACAACCACAAAAGAGCGCAATTGCGAACGGCAAAGTGCTGTGATATGTAAAAGTGTACGGGGCGTTCCAATCGGCCGCAGAAACATCTGTCCTACCGCCGTGCGCATAGCGAGGCTGGAGGCACTAACTGCCAGCGCACATACCAACAATGCCCGTCTAGATTGCGTTCACATTCCGCGCGATCTAGGCCAGGCCCAGACCGAACAATGGGCCTGTCTCGAGTAGCGTTCTTTTAACGGTTCCCTCTCCTAGGTTACGAGTTGTATATTCGGATCAATTGAGCGCAAAACATTACCTGCCTCGGCGATAAATTAACTTTGGATAAGTATTTTTATTGACTGACTATATCTGTATTGATTGTATGTATTACGTTACACATATTAATTTTCTGAGTGATACTGTAACTCAATTTAAATTTGGAAAACTTGAAATTACTTTCTTTCATTTTATCTAGAAATAGTAATCTCTTTAGTTTCGATGGTAATCATTAACGACGCTCGGATCAATACCGGATCAATCTACTACTAACAAAACAACATGGCAATTTCTTCTTTTGCTAATAAAACTAATAACATTATACACAATAACAATATAACATTTATTTATTTTTTTCCATTGAAGGTCAAGGTAACCCGTCTACGCAGTCGCCGTCGTTATTTCATACGTACTTGAAGGGAGAAGAACTTCTTAGCGGCTTCAATGTTGTTCCTTCCAACTTGTCTCAATTCGAGTATCCTTACGATCATCTCACCACGACGCTCGACCGCCTGAAAAAAAAGGTAAACTTTTGCTTTGCATTCAAAATGAATGTAGACTATTTGTAGGGTTTTTTTTGTTGTTGAAAATTCAGTAAAGAGGACCTTTCGCTTTTCGCTATAGGTATTTCTTACATTCAAATTAGTATGGACACTTGTATTTGTTAACGTAACCTTAAAATCAGCTTCAAATACATTGACATCGAGTGTTAAAGAATAAACGTAAGACTAATTTTGACTTTAGATTAAGCTACTTAGAATATTGGACTATCCATGTGTAATTTAAATGGACATTCAAATATACTAACATAGCTATTACTTCATCCTACATCCAAAAGAAAACGAAATATAAGGTACTCATGTCATACAATTTAAAGTACCAGTTTTATAAAAAAATGTAGTTACACTAGACAATACTAATTCAAAATGTGATGTTTAACTATTCCACTAAAAAGTCGTAATACAAAGAAAGCAAGTCGATAATTATTGATGCGTCAATGTATTGTAATGCTTGTAAGTCTGCATATTTTCGCAAACATAACATAAAACATATTTCGAAGATATTTGAAATCTACCAGTCCCCCGTGGTGGACTACGCTAATACTCTCTGTACAGAGGAGGCCTTCGACCAGCAGTGAGAAATATGTAGGCTGTTATTTTACTTTTTTTTGTTACCGAATCTGAAATTTGTAAACTCCGTAACCTTATTACTTACTTCGAGGGCTGCGGCCGTAGTAGCGTCGTGGTCATTTTCAACCATCTCAATCTGCCTGAATATTTCATTGCTAACACCCGACACCTGAAAGGAAAAGTTGAATGATGTGATTTAATATTTATACATATATTTTTACCGCTAATCGACGGCGGTAAAGTCAAGTAAAGTAAAGTAACAGCCTATACATGTCCCACTGCTGGGCAAAGGCCTCCTCTATACAGAGGGTATCAGGGCATAGTCCACCACGCGGCCCCACTGCGGATTGGCGGACTTCACATATCATCCTCACGATGTTTTCCTTCACCGCGAAGCACGTGATAAGTCAGCACATAAAGTTAAAAACTTCATTGGTACCGGCACCGGGGATCGAACTCAGGTTGCTCGAGTATATTGAATTAAAGGCGAGCCCGGACACTGAGCTATCATGGCTCTTCTCGACGGCGATGGATCTTGAGAATTCATCAACTGGGATTGTGTAAGAATAGATCTATTTCTAACTCCTACTAATGATACTCGTAGTTTTTGTTGAATAATAATAGTGTCGAAGTCTTATTTGTGCTACTTCTTTTATTTATACAATTTTCTTCGTAAAAAGGGCACAGAAAAAAAATTCTCTCACATTAGGAAATACCTATTAGTGAAGAATGATGACTAACCTAAGATTATTAACGAAAAACAAAACCGACTTCAAATATCTCGATCCGTATTCATTTTATAATTTATTTTCAGGTTCCCTTAGTATTTCCGAAGATCATGCATGGGACGCACCAGCTTTCAAATAAGAAAATGATCATCAAACTCGATTCACTCAGTCGAAAGTTCTGAGGAAACAAACATTAAAAAAATTCAGTCAAATTGAGAACCCCCCCTCCTATTTTCGAAATCGATTGAAAACAAACTTAGTAGCTAACCCTGAATTAACAGTACTTCGCCAAAAGAAGGACAAAGTTTCGTTATCGACACGTGCATAGAATACACCGACACATACACGCATGAATACTTAGTTGGGTGATAATCTTTCACATAATAAATATTCTTTGAATTAGGCAACAGAACGCCCAAGCGTCTATTTGAATAAAGATATTGATTTGATTTGGTTTGGTATCCAAGAAAAACAGGACCACGTTTGATTGCGCGTTTAATGGACCTGAGACTGAAGAGTTCCTGCGTTTTGTTGAAGCGATACGTGGGAATATAACACCGTAAAACCGTTATTTTTTTTTTCTGAAGAATAAATGTTGTTAAATTGAATGTTCTTGCCCACGTTGGCGTAATTATCAAAGATGTAATAACTTTATTAATACGAAAGTGCCTTTCTTCCTCTTTAGCACAATTCAAATTAAATGTAAAACAGAAAATATATATATATGTATAATATATACATACATATAATATATATATATGTATATATATATATATATATTTATATATATATATATATATATATATATTATAACTTTTAAATTTTCTCTAATATTAAGGTCTTCCTTTGATGTTCATTGATTTCCACTAGGTGTGATGCTAGTTTTTCTAACTTGTCTCTGTAGTCCGCCCATCCGCCAATGATCGATTTGTACATGTAGCCGCGCTGGTGCTGCAAGTGTCTACACGTCGATGGGAGACGCGGCCAAGTAAACAAAAGTGCAATTGTAAAGTGCCATGACCGGGTGCATTTTAATGGAGATCAGTGGCTCTGAATTTGGTCCCAAGGCGACAAATTGGTGGCTTATATACGCGAGGACCCTTTAAGAGTTGAATGTCCATGTGAATCTTCCGATTAACTGTCATCTCTTCAGAACTGACAGCGGTGGTTGCCAAGGGAGGTTGCTTGGTGAATGACGTGAAAGTCTTAGATGTCCAGTAATCTCCATGTCCGATGCTCCTCCCCTATCTCATAACATTGAAAGGATGATTCGGTATTTATCTTCTTAGCACGTTGAAAAGCTTTGTTCGTTGTTAAATTTTAAATTTCATCTTAAATGCAAATAGTTTACGCCTTATATGTCTTATAATTTCACTCCATTAAAAGACCAGTTTAGAATGCGACCTTTCGGAAGTCTGGCTGGAGCACGCAGGGCGGGGCGTGGTTGGCGCGCGGCGGCTGCGGCGGCCCTGGCGGCGCACGGCCGGGCGACGCCGTCAGATCTGGCGCCGCGCGCCCGTTCTCCTGCAAAATGGAGGAAGGTTAGAGGCGAAAACAGCGCTCCCTGAGCAAGTGGACCTTAGTTTTGGTAGTGCCATCCCTAAACAAGGCGAAATTCTATTGGTAACGTCATAACTGTTCTCCATCGGAGCGAAAAACGGTTTGGGGGCGCCATTCGTTGACGTACTTTCTGTGCCACTTGACCTTTGCCTGTTGTTACTTCGGGTAAGCCAATCCGAAAAGGTTCAACTTACTTTGACTGTATTATACCATACTTATATCAACTTCGAAGAAATAAATCGAAAAATTTGAAACGGATTTAAACGATTTCTCCACAACTCATTTTAATGTTGTATTACAAAAACTAGTATCTGTAAAAATGTTTGTGTACCATTTTTCTTGGCAGCCCTTGTAGTAAGTAATTAGGGATCTCATGCGAATAATTATAAAAAAGCTGATAATTTTAGTACTCGATAGAGATAGAATTTAGTTTGTATTACACTCACTCTTTCCTATTGATAAGGTTGGTCACAAACCTAACACGGACTTGATTTTTTTTAATCTGTGAATTTGTTCGGTGTATTAAAGTTAAAACCGTAAAGAAATAATAAAGCATATAATAATAACTTTCATTTGAAATATGGCTTATAAAGAGATATGACATGAGCAATTGCACATTATTATTTAAAGGTTTTATCGCACTTTAACTTATGTCTTAAAAATCGACAGCTAATACATGAACCAGTTGCAATTGCATTAGTTTACGGCATCGGATTGTGAGTACATCAATAAAATGTCTATTTGTCTGAAACGCTGCTCCAATACACCTAACTTCCGCAGCCTTAACAATTATTCGTTAGCTTGCACGAAGTAGGTCGGGGACGTGAGATTGCATCTTATATATTGGCGATACACGATCTTGGCATCGTCGAAGCGTAGTATTCGATATTGCTATGTACTTTAAGAAACGTGTGCGGGTGTTTGGTTTTCATCTCGCATGGTAAAAAACAAGACGATTTTGTGCTTCCGTGTAATGTAACGCTGACCTTCCCTCGCCATAAAGCAAAGAGAAAAAACTCGATTACAATACCGCAGTCCGACCCTTTTCACTCGAGAATTATTACTCAACAAACGCAACGCCACCCGTTTATTTCCGTTCCGTTCCATTCCGCTATCGACGGGGACAAATTCTCGCATCCTATATTCCATCCGGGCTGAAATCAATGTATGTACATACGTCGTACAATTCATTCTGTGATGAATGAAGAAGAAGAAGAAGAAATGTTTATTCACGGTCTAAACACAATGAATACATACAAAACTTAAAAATAATAAGGTAAATACACAAAAACATAACAAAAAAACAAACAAAATAATAACAGTTATGACGAAACTAAATTACGAGATCAGTTCAAATATTAATCTTTAAATTACACCCTGACCGTTTATGAGAGTACACTAACTTTTCGGAATAGACGTCCAGATAATAAATGTATACGTCCATAACAAAAAATACCCATAATATCCATTGCAAAGTTAATGACTTAGCAACTAAGATACCGAGTGTTCATAGAAAATATATACGTTCTATAGATATAATCTATTTAAAAATATATTTATCCTTGACGATTTCATCGCAACTGACGAGCGTCTTTACTATGTTCTATCTTCAGATTCTATTTCCTTTACTGCTGTTAGCCGGCAACTATTAGATTATGTCCTTTATGATCTTATGGACTTCTATATACTGTGCGGAATCCGTTCCTTTGTGTGTCATCATTGGCGTAACGGGCGCGCGGCAGTTACGCTTTAAACACGTAATACGTAGCACGAATGCTACGGAAAACGTAGCACAAGTGCTACGGAAAACGTAGCACCCTACCCGATAAGTGACTGCGTAAGGCGTGTTTCCGAGTTTTCACCGTACAAAGCTACAGCAGCTAACAGATTCAAAATTAATTATCTTAAGCGAGCGATCAGTAAAAAAGGTTTAGTAAAAACTTTGACAACGGCTGTGTTGCATTCAATATGCATAAATTTGTTTTCGATTTTATGGAAATGCCAAGCTGCGGTGGGTGGTGTGGTGAACTATGTCCTAATATTCATTGTACGCAGGAGTACCTTTGACTAGCGGAAGGATCCAAGGGAACAAATCCAGAAGTTAAGAAAAGGTCATTTCGGAATGTTTGCAAGTTGTTTGTGTAGCTCCCGCACTCGGCAGTCTAGACTCTAGACAAAGTCGAGGAATGAGCGTTTCTTTTCTGTACGAATGCGTGGGAATTTGGCGGTCGATCGAGTGCGGGGATGGCGGGCGACAGAAAACGGGGGTTGGGGGCCCTGACCCAGTTTCCCGCCGCCCCGCAACCCCCAAGCGTACGCACGAGGTCACTGTACTGCAGCTGCAAGCCCGAATACCGCAGAGGTGAGCGGACTCAACGTTCAATGTTGAATTATCTCGCATTTGCGGCGCGGAAGTCATCCGTCACGTTGGGATTGCAGCCAATGATATTATATACAAATACGGTGTAGATACAACGCTATCGCACCGAAACTGAAACACTCAAATAACGACAGTTGTTGTAATTGAAAAGTTTGCTATCTCTTTCCGTATCATACGTTCATCGTTGTCATGTCATTATATATGTCATGTAATGATGGAAAGCGGAACAATTTGTAAAAGTCGAGCTGGATGGACATGCTTCATCTTTATTAAAACATCATTGATTGCTGCTTTCCACTTTCATCATCATCATCTTCAGCCGCAAGACGTCCACTGTTGAACATAGGCCTCCCCCTTAGAACGCCACAACGAACGACACTTTGCCATTTGCATGCATCGGTTGCCCGCGACTCTTATGATGTTAAGATGCCTTCCACTTTGCTAACCATATACTCGGTCCTTAGCTAGTTCTAGCCTTAGCTTTCAAAGTTCTTTATTTCGGTTATTCTAAGTTGTTTCTTGTTGTGCATGGGTGATTAACCCATGCATCATTATACGATGCATATTTTCCAAATCAGTGGAGTTTATTGATACACTTCTTACAAAAATCAGCTGGACGGGACGCAACAAACTTTTCAGAGGCATAATGCCTCTGAATAGTTTGCTGTACTTCCTCTCGGGAACTGAATTTTTTCCCTCCAAAAAGTCGTCTCTTTTCAAATTAAAAAAAAAGTATAAGTAACGGTAGGTTAAAGGACTGGCGAGTATGGCGGATGAGGGAGAGTTTCCAACCCCAAGTCTTGCAGTTTGGAAACTTCTCTTGGTTGAAGCAGCAGCGGGAACCAAAGCTGGTTGCAAATATGTTAGTTTCTCCATCATAGTCGTCAGTTCTTCACAGTACACATCTGTAGTAATGTTCATGCCGTTTTGTTAAAAGCTGTGATGAATCACACCGGCACCAGACCACCAAACAGTGACCATCACCTTTTAGGGGTCATTTTTCGTTTAGAGCATTGCTTTGGTGCTGAACCCGAATCTGATCAACTTGCTGAGCGCTTTCGATTGTCAAACATAATCCATAAGCCATTGGCCGGACGCAATAATTCCGTTCAAAATTCTGTGCAGGCAGGTCTCGACGCCTACGTTGCGCTGGCGATAGTTAAATTCGGGGGCACCCATGTATCAAGCTTTTTTACCTTGCCAATTTGTCGCAAATGGACCAATATTGTTTTGATGTGATCATCAAAAGCTGATGCTAGCTCGGCTGTAAATTGAGTATCATCAGCTTCCACAATAGCCTTTAATTCATCATCGTTGACCAAAGTGACCACAAAGTTCATTTTTCAAGTCAAAATATCTACCGGACAAACCAATAACGGGTTGTGAGTTCATTTCTAAAGTTCTCACCGTAAACGTTGTTTATGCCGTTTGTGCTGCGTTGGTGCCACGACGGAACTCATATTCCATAGTTACAGGAATTTACGAAAAATGAAATCAATAAATAAAAGACTAAATTTGTAAAAAGAATTAAATTATTTTAAATAATATTTATTTGAATTTAGAATTCACAGCCAATCAAAACTTTTTTTTGTTTGAAATTGCCTGAAGAACGACAATTTCATAGGTAAAAAAAACCCTATTACATAGGATATGCCTTTTGGGCTGAATAGTTTGCTGAACAATTATATTTTGAAAATATATGTATCAATTTTGACCTATTCTAAGTATTTCATAGAAAACTGACTATATTTCATTCGAAAATTTATATATTATCTAAAACATATTTAAAATTTTATCATCTTCAATACTTGGTTCTAATAATAAGAAAGGTTTTTTATTTACAAGTACTTACATTTGTATAAAATTTTAATTTACATTGAAAAGTATCTGTCAAATTATTTAAAATTACTTTAAGTTCATTATTCAAAAACTTTTCTATAACAAAGCATCGTATTTATAATCGTCGTAATATATATCCGAACTATCAACCTCAACGTGCAAGTTACGCGTACCGCAGACGGACCGTATTTACATCTCGTGTATACTATGAGACGTGATCCGTCTAACAATCTTGTTCAAACAGTAATAACGTACAAGATTGAAACTCTTCTCTGCATCAAACAGCCCATTACGTTTGCAATCTCCAAACGTCAAATGCGCCAAGCTTCGTGACAGATTAAATTTTACCACGCTGACATATGTTACGTTATGGACGGATGGTATAACTATTCTAGTCGCGTAGAGACTTAAAATATATTTTACAAACGCTGTAGCGTTGCAGAGTTGCATTGATTTAGTCCGTGCCGAGTGCTTTTCACCGAACTTAAAAAGTGCCTGACTTGGCGATGGGCCTCTTAGTACAACACACGTTTATCCAGAGACCTGGTAGATTTTGATATGTTATAAATTTCAAAACCGGACTATTTACTTGTAATCAGCTCTGGGATTCAAAGCTAATATGCCTGGTTCTACGTTCCAGTCACCATTAATAGAATTTTATGTTCTACAAGCGACCCTGGCCGGCTTCACACGGGTCGTAACAAGCTTCACAGAATCATCTGCTGAGATAATCTGAAGATTGTTTGGACATTACATAAAAATAGGATCAGCCGTTTTGGAGTCCACAAGGAACACGCCGCACATCGATTTATATGTGATGTGATATAGTAGCCGTAACACATCTGTAACCCTACGAGTGTTGCAAATGTTAACGAGCGCTGGTTATCATTTTAGATCAGGTGTCACCGCCAGTTCGTATGCCCCCTTCTCACACAAAAAAGGCTTACACGCTATATCGTTTTCTTAATTTTTATTCACTTTATCTTGATAAGCGAAATAATGATAAATAGTACAACAACTGAATGAGAACTTCATCTAAACAATATAGATTGATATTAATTTCTCTCAACACGGCTGTTACTTCAATCATCAGATTATTACTAGACTCTGCCTCACTTTTTGTCACCTTTTTTAATTTAACTTTAAAACTAAATCGGATTACTAATTAAGGTCCAACTGTCCCTCTACGTAAATAATAAAATGAGTAATGACTATTATACGACTGTAAGTGGTATAATGAACATTCCTTCACCCGTCGGTCAATATCTACGGCATGATAGCATTAGAAACCTTTGTAACTAAATACGGGGATTATAGTGGCTTACTAAACGCTTAATAGGGAATGGGCGAGTACTTTGTATTAGATACTGCAAATGCAACATACGGACCCGACTTCATTATCGCTCTTAGCTGTTCTAATAAAATTCACGGCAATTCTTTCTCCCGGCTCTAATCTTAAGTAATGGCCCCACATTTTCTTTTCTCATTGTCTCCTATCAAGAGATAAAGTAACAAATAACTGTAGAATGCGGCATATCATTTAACTTTCTTATAAGGTCTTCTAGATAGTGAATTCATTTTATACGTTAAAATCAATCCAAAAATAATCAATAGTAAATTCGTAATAACAGTTATTCTTTATTTCTGGTTGTTATTTCTTATAGTTCGCTATTTTACTATTTCATTACATATCTTAGTTAACTTTCTTGTTAAATAATTAGTAGAGACATCAACCTTTGCTATAATGTTAATTATAGAACTGACTACACTTAAAGCAGCATAGTTAATAGCAATAGTACTATAGAAACTATTTCTACCTCATTTTATTCCACTACAACGTAAAAACCGAAAGATGGAATAAGTTATAACATGAAACAAAGCCTACTGTCGTTTGATCGACGCCAAAAAATACAGCTAGAGAAAACTACTGGATGCATTATGCGACCGGGTCACCGTCTTTGGCAACTTGGCAATTAACCTTTCGGCAATCCTCTGCTGCCTACTAAGCAAATTTGTCAGTGATTTTAATGATTACACCCGGCGATGTGCACGTAACTCAAATACTTTCAAATTCAAAACTTTTAATTGCATGTATGGCGCAATGATGGTTAAATGGCCATCTCACCAAACGTCTTTACTCGCCGTGTTGTAGGTTCTACCTCCTCGGCCCAAAATTTTCGTGATCAATAAATAGTTGTTCCAAACGTGCATTATTTGTGTGTTGTTGGATAAAATGAATAGTATTTTACAATGTACCGTTCCACTTATTTTGAAAGAAAGTATGAAGTATGAATACTAGCATCTTTTTGTGTTTTCAAATAAGTAATTAATACTTATACATATAAATTAACTCATGTTTGAAAACTTGTACCTTCTATTATGATTAATTAAAATAAATGAATCTTTTATTAATTGTAGCTTTTAGTACCAAGTATTACAGTTGTATGTAGTATAAATAAATCGGTAAATTTCTTATCCTAAGTTATAAATTTTATAAATAAATAATTATTATAAATAAAATTCTTTCCGCATTTAAAAATATCAAATCAACCGTAGAATTTGTAAAGTCAATTTCGAACGCGAAAGTCACTCACTAGCAGCCCTAATTTGTAATTCGGCTAAGCTCCAAGCTGCGAGCTTTAAATCAGCGCAAGCCTCGTTAACGGGCGGCACAGATTAAAAAAAAGAGAGACGAGCCAAGACGGGGCACTTAAAAAGGCGCTCGGGGGGCGCTGGATCGATCGGCGGTGTACGCGTGATCGATACGCTAGTACAACCGGCTCAATGGGTTGCGCGCGCAGGCCGCCTTACGTAACGCGCAGCGCCGACACCTGTTGCCCAATACTACCACCCAGTTATAACACGGCCGTGCGGAGAAGCTAGCCGCGGCTTTTAGGCGGGCCGTTCTGACGCGACCACCCGTTTCGGTCGGCTAACCGGTGTCATTGCACTGGGGCAACCTTCGGCTGCACTCAAGGGTGCATAGTAGCGGCCGGCGGCGTAGGAGGGATGATAATGATCTTCGTTAGCGTTATTGGACGCCTGTGCAATGAACGACTTATTGTTTTCGGCACGAAATCGTTGAGCATTGGTACAAATGAATAAATCTTGAAGTTTAAATTTGTGTTAATTTGTTTTTTGTCTTCTATTTGGGCCGCCACCTGACAATCGACAAAGAAATATACGCAAAAATTTTATTGCTTGCTTTTTAACATGAACAGTATTGATATAACGTCCATTATGACTTAAAAGTTACTGAAAATGGTTCGATTTATTTTCACCGCAAGCTGTTAAAAACGCATTAACAGTATGGACCGAAACGTTACTTCACTAAATTGCTTGTGGTTCACGGTTTAATTTTCAGTGTAAACTTTAGAAATGACAACGGTTAGGGAGAAAACAGCTCATTTTATATTAACACAATATGGTTTAATGATTAAAAAGAGAAATGAAAGAGATGAAAATGAGAGAGATGAAAGAGTTCTATTTACTCAAAGTATTTTACTACACCAATTAC